TCCCTGTGCTCCTGCTCCCAGCCACTAGAGGGGGACAGGGGGTATTTGTGCGTTTGTGAGGGGCTGGTGGGGACTTCATGTGGCATCAGAACCCACCACAGAGCCCCCTCACTGCCATTGGACTCATCATCATCAAAGAATCTGTTTACCTTAATGACAAAAAATAACCCAATTTTAGGAAGGCCAAACCCCTATTATTATTATTTTAATTATTATTGATGTTATTTTTATTGTTGTTGTTGCAACTGAACATGGTCCTCGCCCCCACCTGCTGCTGTCTTTTTTACCCTCCCAAGGTTGCTTTTAAATGGCTGATCTGTACAGTTTTATGGAGAGCAAAGTGGGGAAAAATAGTGACTCATGTCTGACTGTTGTACAATCAAGTTCTGGTGAATTTTCTTTGTTTACAGGAAAGTAACAATATATGAACATTATCTTCCATCATGTATTAAAATAAGAAGGTCACATGGCATTAACTAATCCTTTTTTTTTTAGTGTACCCAGTAAACCTGTGCTCCAGCCCAATATGAAATGTGTCAGCCCAACCTGAAACCAGGAAAAACAATAAACATGCACCTTGGGCCTTTTTATATATTTTTTTCCTTTGTGTTTAGCTATCTCCCCTAGCCTCGGACCACCATTTATAACGCCATACATGTTCTATTTCACTTTAGTTTATTTTTTATAAATACCAGCCAGCTGAAGCATAACTTCTTTTGTATGTTTAGAAAACCTTCAGAGACAGCAGCGTTCACTGTGTGAAAAAAACAAACAAACACAGCGATCCTGGACGCTTTCAAACACGATTTCAGTCACTCTGCAGAAACGATCAATGAGCAATGAAAAGTCAACACCACCATCTGCTTTGGCTATATACTCCATCTCTATATTAAATTTATTTTTCATTTGTATTGTACAAAGTCACTTAATAAACCTGTGATGATATTGAGGTTTGAGATGGGTTTATTATGCACAGTGGTGCGGATGCATACTGTGAGGTGATGGTCGTTTGTCTTTACACTGTTGTGTTACATCTGTTCTAGTGATGCGTTACTAATTTCCAGTGTCACAATTTGATTTCCCCACTAGATGTCAGTCAGCAAATATGTTTATGTGCAGTTGAAGCAGCATCTACTCAAGTGTTTAAATGTGAGCTTTTCATGAAACAGGCACTGACAAAAAAACAATGTTCCCAAATATGCATTGAAACAGACAACAAATGTAGTTTTCCCCAGTGATTCCCACTCCCCTCTGCAGCTCACGGGGCTCCTGCGTGGATGTCAAATATTACCAGGCAGATTTACACTGATATAAGACAATGCAACAGTTGTCATACCTTGATCCTCAAAGCTCATTTTGCCCATCAGACCCACAAAGGTTCGAAACCTTTGCGCTAGGAGTGAAAACATAGATTAAAGATTCAAACTTTATTTAAATGCTACACTGCCACTGTTTTGAAATGTATAATCAGAAATATTGACACCTATGTGTACATGCCATTTTGCATCTTTGCTGTTTGAAGAAAAACAATTCAGTGATCTCTCATGAGACCTGAACACAGCAGTCTAGTTATTAGCCTACAGTAATTACAGATTCTTTGTGTGTTACAGCATGGTATCAAAAGCCCTACCAAAGTCTTTCATCCCCATGAGTCCGAGATGTTGGCGTGGTCCTGGTTTTCTGATCATTCTCACCAACATATCTTGAATTTCTGTAAGGTTTGGCCACTTGTTCTTGTATGAGATAAAAACATACAAAGATAGTACCAGCATTCATTCTCTATCACTTTGCATGCAAATTACACTTCCAGCAGTAACGAAGACAAAGAAGTAACCATGCCAAGAATGTCTAGACGGGTAAAGACTTGACCATCCCAAAATCTTTGATGAATGGACCCAGGGGTCCTGAAAGCTCTAGGCTTACTCCATATCCTTTGGTCTAGTCACTAATCACACCTTATGGTTCTGCTCTTACAGAAGGAATCTAGTTTTAAGACACGAGTTGTTTAATTTACAGTTTGTGCTTTATCAAAGTATTTTAATTTATTTGCATTATGTAACACCCAGAAAGCCACTGTCATATTATTCCATCATAAAACAACAGAAAGGCTGCAAACAATCCCTAATTTGAATGAGTCAGACCAATATTTCCCTTTAATTGGCAATGGTAATAAATCGTTTAGTGTAGAAAGTATCACAAAACAATGGAAAATGTCATCAGCTAAATGCCACAAATGTTTTTTATTTTTATTAGTTTTTTTATTCTTGGAGTGGAGCAGGGGCAAAAGCAACAATCAAAAAATATATATAAAGATGTTTACTATCACTGATGTGCAAAATGCCTAAAAACAATTAACCACATCTCAAAATTGCTTCCAGTTAATTTTCAGTCAATTGACGTACAGTGGGTACGGAAAGTATTCAGACCCCCTTAAATTTTTCACTCTTTGTTATATTGCAGCCATATGCTAAAATCATTTAAGTTCATTTTTTTCCTCATTAATGTACACACAGCACCCTATATTGACAGAAAAACACAGAATTTGACATTTTTGCAGATTTATTAAAAAAGAAAAACTGAAATATCACATGGTCATAAGTATT